ACATCCCAGAAATCTCTGGACAATAGGTAAAATTTTGGAATTAATGCCAGTCAGAGATGGTAAAATAAGATCTTGCATAATTAAAAATCTACTGGTACCTTAAAAAGGCCTATACAGTTGTTATATAATATGGAACTTATCTAATGTTTCTATTTTATATTTTTAGGTTTGATTCTCCTGACCTTGCTGATAGGTATCATGTAATTCTTTGTAAAATTCATGTGCTTATAATTATGTATGCATGTTTGTTATATTTAGCCATTTCTCTAGGATTGATTGTCGAATATTAATTGAATATTCTAGAATATATTATTAAAAGATAAACTCTCCACCGAGTTCAGGTGGGTACTGTTGCATAATTTGAAGAAAAAGGCTAGAGGGCGTTGTTGCTCGCATAGGTGAGAGAAAAATGTTTTCATGTTGAAGGCGGCGGCCTAAGAATAAGCTCTCTATATAGTGAATTAAAATATTGTTAAAAATGTTAAAGTGTTAAAACTCACTGAACAACCATCAGAAGGCATAGAAGGGAGAGAAAAATAATTAAACAACATTTCACTCACAGGTGGGATACAATTTTTTCCGAATTAAAAGATCCATAGTGTCTAATCCAATATTCTGGAAAAAAGATCAAAGACCATTTTTCTTGCAAAAACACTTTAGGATGCCTCAGTTATTCTCAGGAACAACAGATGCCGAAACTGAGAGCGAATACTTAAATCTGGAACGGATCTATGGGTCAAGAATCGATCTAAGGACACAAAATTCTAACTGTTACGCCCGTAAATAAGGAACTGCTTCGCGAATGTCCATTCTGGAATGCATCTGTGTCAGGAATTGCATGTGCCGGAATCCAAGGACAAATGCGTGCATCTGAAGCGCGTCATTGCCAGGAACCGCAGGTGCCGGATGCTAAGGACTGACACGCTTCTGTGGGTCGTGAACCGCCTCGAGAATGTATATTTTTCGTGTTCGGAATAGATAAAGAAGTAGAGCGAAGAAGGGAAATCTAACTTAAAATTTTGGTAAAGACATAGCGCAAATAAACATGCTTTTCAACCCATGGTCACGTTAAGCGCGGTATCAAACTAACTGCTTCAGGCAGCCCGCAGCAGACCACGACCGCCGCAGGGCAAACGCCCCGCGATCTCTCTTTGCTAACTTCACATCATAAAACTCAAATATGTCTCTCTTAAATACCGGCGCAGGCCGCCAGCAGCAGGCCGAGCCCGCAGCGGGGCAAACTCCCCGCGATGTCTTTAAAGTAACTTAACTGCTCTAAGACTCAAATCTCTTTGACTTCTACACCCGTACAAACTCCGAAGAAAACTCGGTTTCTCCACCCACTAAAAATTATAGGCCGTAAAATTACACATAAAATTAAACTTAACCAATCCGAAAATTTCTTTTTTTTTTATTAATTTGCTGAAAAGTTTCCCCCTCAACAAATCAAAATAGAGACGCGGTACAATAACCTGTTGACCAGCTGGAAACAGTGAGTCTCCCAAAGGCGTGAGAACCCAAAATTCGACCCCAAGCTAACAAGCGGAAAACAAAGAGATACGAATTAATGCTGCTCCTTAAAATGAAATTTACAGGCGCCATTTAGTCCTAAAGAAACTCATTTTTAACACTTGCAGCATTCACAGAGAAAGGGAAAAAAGTCAATTAAGTATTCCTTTTAACACCCAGAAAACAAATCTTCAGCAGCACGAAAGCCTCTTGGATATCGTGAAACGCTATTCAAAAAGAAGTCGTTTTCGTCCCAAGAAATGCTCCCTATCTTTGTTACAAAAATTGAACCATTAAAAAATAAGTAGCTAATTTTAACTTGTTACAATATACATATATACATTCCACTACGTTCTTTACAATTGCAGTTTAAATTAAATACCTAAATATTGATTAATTAAATAAGTACAATTAAAAATTCACTACGCAATATTTCTCTATTTATTTTCTGACATTATTGCTATTCTTGAATCGGTTTTTCTTATTTCAAAACAACGGTAAAGAAAATTTACTCTTTGTGACACACTGAGTGCAATGAAATCGTTTGAATATAGAAGTTAAGAAAATCCTCTGTTGAGTGAAGATCTTCAAACTTTACATTATCCTTTACGATATTCTTCGAATCCTCTCCACATTTGTATAAAAGCAATTAGCTCTCAGACACTGTTGCTAAATCTTTTCAAGCAGTCTATGGACCTTATAACACTTATTCAGATATCAGAAAATATGTGTGGCAACAAATTCTTCTGAAATGGCAGCAGGACTAAGGTATATAAATACCCAACAAGCTACTGCATGTAAGTCTGAAATCAAGTATTGGATGATGAGCAGAAATTGAAAAAGATACGTTCAAGAAGAAGTTACTGATTGATCACTCTTGAATTACCCATAAGTGTCCGCTAAACGGAGCAAATGCCACACTTTGTAGAAATGCCTATGTTTCATTGTTTTTGGCTTATCATGTATTATGCAAGCAGATGAACTTGCAAAAGAAGCTATATCGATGTACATAAAAAGCCAAGAAGTCATCTCATTACCAATGTACAACCAATAACAAAGACAGCAGACAACATGGTAACACGGATGGGATGCCATGAAAAGGCAAGGACGACTCTCAATTCCAAATTGTGATACTAATAGACTTATAGCTACTCCATAAATAAACTAGATTCCGTCACACCATGGCCCATGGAGGTCTACAATATATATTAAATGCTCAATAAGAAAACATATCTACAGTCGTCCATTAAAACTATTGGAAAATAACTTCTTCATACAAGGGAAAGAACACAGAAAACAAAATCAGCAAAATAATGAATATGGCAGCACACATAGGCACAGATTTATGCGAACCCTGATGAAGAATTTTCGACATGATGAATAATTTCGTTAAGCCAACAATTTTCTCCATCTCTCTTGTCCTTTTACCAGGTGTTTCGCATACATGAAATGAATTGGCCATTACAGTTCGTTTTACAAAATCTCGTATGAACTATGTTTCAGAAAAGTGCGCATCAAAACGTCTCGTTATAAGCATCGGGTTGCCATAAGTGCAAGGGCCAAGCATATACTAACAATTCGTTTTCATAATCTGGTCAACCATTAATGCTGGAGGAATACTGAAATTTGGAAAAATGCTTGACTTGCACAAAAGAGAAGTCGAAGGATAAATATTGTTAATGCATTGAAATCTTGTTAATCCGGTAAAGCATTGATGCTCTCTCCTGCCCTCAACTATCAACTATCTGTCGTTAATATTTTAACTGACCGTAGAAATATTAAATTTTTCAGATTGGAACATTTTAGTTCTTTCATCACAGCTATAATCAAGTTGACTGAAATTAATCCTCATTTTAATCTATTTGGCTTTCTAAAAGTTAAATTGTTGCAATTATATGTTTTAATCCAGATTAATGTGTTTTTAACATAGAAAAATGTGTGCATTTTGAAAAATTAATGTAAAACAATTAGTTTTCAAAGCAATTTACTGACTGTTCTGTTCTTTTAAATTCAATTTTAGATGTTTTAGAATAATTATATTTTAACATGAGTTTTTTATTGCCATGGCACATAGCTTTTAATGCTTTATGTATTCTCTCTATAAACGTGGCTTATCCTGACTACTCAGATTGTAGGCCGTTAAACAACACCACCAAGAAAAGACCATGCCGAAAACTTATAAGCAAAAGTTCTTTAAACGTGAGGACCATAGCACATTTTTCCACAAAAGACAGCAGAAAATTGGATGCACTTAATTTAGCTCTAAGGGAGTAAAAATTGCATAAAACCACGAGACAGCAGGGTTTAGTTTGTTTCATTATGGCAAAGTTCACGGCACCGATCTGCTTAATGCAAGAGATGTCTTCTTCGAAGACGTTTTAATGGAAATTGACATGTATCTATATTACACAAGGGGGAAAGCATGAAAATGCCCATATATCAACGCGTTCGCCAAAATTTGAACTCGAATCGAACTAACAGTGCAGAGAAACTTTACCATTAGGTGCTAGATGAAGCAAGACCACACAACAAAAAAAATATTTTATAATATATTATATTATTAAACAAAACACACATTTCAAACATCTGCTGGAAAGTGTTGCTGTTAGAAAAATTTTAGAAATAATGTTTAAGACTGGCGCTTGCTTGAGCGTGAAATGATAAAATTATGGAAGAAATGTTTGAAATAACATTTAGTAATTTTAAAATACATTTTACTATTATAATAGAGATCTATTTGGTTATAAAAAGTATATATTATATTGTTAATTTTTGGATTTTAAAAACTTTCAGTAGCTCAAGGGTCATAGGACTGTTGCCACATCCCTAATAGGACAATGTTAGTCTTCTGTCATCGCATCCTCACCCGCCAGTGAGATTTCAGAGACAATGCATCTCATTGTTTTCTTATTTTGACTATATTTTATCTTAAGATGCAGACCTTTATGGTGTGCATCTTAAGATAAAATATTTAAACTTTTGTGAGGTCCCTCGTATGATTCTTTAATAAGCTCTGGTAAGAGCGGAATTAATTCCCGCTGTAAGCCAGAATGTGCAACTAAAGCATCGAAGCATTAAAAAGTATATTCTAAATTGCGTGAAAAAGAATGTAAGTACAGTGCTTGCAAATACGGTTGTAATGCTTTATCTGATGGAAGTTAGTTCCAAAATAAAATTTTTGTTGACGATATAAAGCGAAAGAGAATGCACTTTTAACTGCCTAAACTATTTTTATATAAAAATAGAATACTGAATATTGCTGAGAACTGCAGTATTATCATAGTTCTATTTTTACATATATCCAAACTGTAGCCACTCACAGGTACTGAACACTAAATATCACATGTTACTATTTACAAATTACGAAATACTAAATGTTACAAAGGACTTAAATATACCATTTTCCATTATATGATTTTAATTTTTACGGTTATTTCTTCTGAAATTGCAATGCTGGCAGTTTGCTTTTAGTTTATTCAAAAACCAAATACCTTTTTCACATGTTCTTCCGAAGTAGGGAGGTTTGCAAATGCATTTATAATCTCCAACAACCTCGGAGCATTTACCGTGATTTTTGCATGGATTTGGGTTGCAAGGACCTGAAGAAAGAAAAAAAAATGTAATAATTTTTTTTCTTTACCAAAAGCAATTATAAAAATAATAGTTTTTGAATGTTTGTGCAGTAACGGACTTTTCTCACACAGTTTCCCAAAGTAGGGATATGGGCACGTGCAGTTATACAGTTCTTCTACTACACTACAACTCCCACCATTTTGACAAGGATCTGAGCTGCAGGGACCTAGAAAGAAAATTCTGATTTAGGTTGAGTTTTTCTGTTTTTTATATTCAAACCCACGTTTTTCAAAAATCATTATATTTGAATGTTTAATTTAAAAAAGTACCTCTCTCGCAATTTGTTCCTGAGTAAGGGTTTTCACAAATGCAGATATAAACATCTGCACCTATTACACATTCGCCTGCATTTAGGCAAGGATTTGGGCTACACGGATCTAAAAAAAAATTTATGAAGTATTGAAAGTTTGTTTTAGTTTGTTTAACAATTAAAGAATATATAGTATTTAATTTGTATTGATTTAACACTAGAATTTCAATGTAAAAATAAAAACAATTAGATTTTTCACGTTTCAGTTCTGCATAAAATGCAGTAAAAGAACGTTTCTATTTGAAATCAGTTATATTATATTTCTCACACTTATGACAAGGGATACGATTACGAAAATATAAGAATGTGATGAGTACACCACATGGCTTCCTTGTATGGAATATTAAATTATACATTATTTTTTTTTCTTGCAAATGATTTAAACTTATTGAATTGAATTAAATCTACTTCGTAGATAGCGAATAAACCACAAGAGAAAAAATGCATTGTTTAAAATTCACTATATTTTTTTACCACAGCGACATTCTGGCGTTAGGTTCACTTAACAGCGTTTCATCTCATTCATTTTAAAACTCAGAATCCACAAAATTTATATCATCTGAAGAATTATCTAATCGTTGCTACATGTTCTATTCAATTGCTATAATAAATCTAAAACGATATATAAAAGAAATTAAACAAAAAAGAAGCAGTTTTCACATGCGATTCAGTATTTCTCATTCAATTAATTCAGTTCATAATACATAAAACCTCAAAATATCGGTATACGAAGTTAATCTTAAGCACTAATTTCATCGAATAAATTCCAAAATGGATTACGCATGATTTAATTCGCCATAATAAAAGAGGGCCTTATCTTTGTTGTTGCGAAGCTTAGTTTCTCTAGATTGGCAACAAATCTACTATTCTGAAAAGTTTTAAATGCAAAGAAATATTGTTGCTTTGGTAAAAGTAATTAGGCTTAGTCGCACTTAAACAACTTTTAAATTGTTGATTAATTGTACAAATATTGCAGGCAGATTTACTAAAGGCATAAAAACCTTAACCGCAAGATAAGAATAACATAATTCAATCATCTTTAAAGCACAAAATGCACAAGTTACGCATGTATAAGAATAAAGAAACTCAGATCACTGAGCCGAGTAACAAAACTGGGTGGGGAGTTCAAGACGATATCCTTCAGTAAGTAACACTTCCACAAAATAGTTAATGAAATATAATAGTAAAGCTACAGATTTGAAATAAATACCAGTACCGTTGCGCGTTCTGGCGCTTGTTAGACACAAATACAGTCCGCATGACTTTAAGTATTTAAATAGCTACTCAGCGTCTACTCGCGCTTGCTATTTTAACAGAGTTCTTTTGTTACCACCTTCGCGTGGAATCAACATTTGACATCATCGTCTTTCGCCTCGTTCTTGCTGCGGGTACAGCTACAAAGTTCATTATATACGTGATACGACTATACTGCAGAACTAGAATGGGTGCTGTGAAAATTCGCATGCCTTCCACAAACAAGGAGAACTTGTTTCTAAAAAACTATTGCTAGTAGTAATTGCAGCAAACACTAGAAACCGCAACTACAGTCTCGTGATTCAGATAGGTAACACACATTCAAAAATACATATATTTCAACTCTACATATATCTAGAAAATTGTTATTAAAACCTCATCATCATCATCATTATTATTATCGTCATTGTTATTATTTTAACTTTCGTGAAGTATCGGATCTCTATGAATCTCTGCTCTGTCAACGATAATGCAGGCCTTTCGAGCATAAGGAGCTGGTATCTTACTACCGTTCTCTAGCAAGGCTGACTGCTCTAAGACCTAACCATTGCGCAAATGATTGCTCGAGCCACACTGGAATTAGTCAGTGATTAAAATAATAAGTAGTACGAATGAAACTTAACTCTTATGTGGTTTCTAAATTAACACTCTTTTAGAAGAAATTTTGAGAAAACATATAGATTTTTTTTTTTTTTTTTGCTTTTAGTTTACAGTTTTTAAGTTCATTGCTTTCCCTATTGTTCCCTAAATTCTACGTAACAAGGAAACTTTGCGATAAGGTTTGCTCTTCTATACCAAAGCCAACCAATAATAATAACTCTTCTATACCAAGCGTGATGACATCGACGTCCCGAAGCCCCATTTTCAATAATGCGGTATGAATGTGTTACATATGTAGCTGTCCAAAGAGCGAACTGACGTCTCTGACACGCGGTAATACTGTAGCTAGTGTCGGAGAGAAAACTGTACGGCCTTAGGATGCAGGGATCTTACCTGTATCCTGAGCTTAGTACATCTGCTTTTTCCATTGCCAATGCCAACACATTTTAAAGTGTCACTGATTTATAGCTTTTGTAAAACAAAACTTAGTCGTAAGTTATTATATTTATTTTAATTTTAACTGTCGGTATAGTAATTAAAACTCGCTGATGTTTTTGTCAAGAGAATAATTTGCGCCTTGCACAGTTGACAATTCCTTCTTGAATAAAGACATAAGCAAAATTGCATTCCACCTCGCATGTGTTGTCGTTTCAGCAAGCATTTGGTCCCAGAAAATAGATAAACATGAAAAGTACAATATTGTACTCAGACGTCATTGTTCAAAGTGGTTAAAAAATAGCCTTGTCTTAAAATTGCTGATACGTTCTTAAAATCAAAATAAAAACTTCATAACTTTATTTAAAAATCACAATATTTGCTCATAATAAAAAAATATTGTGGTCTCTAGTGCGAAGAACTATTTATTTAATATTTGACTTACATTATTATTTAAGAGGATTAGAGCAACTCAGCATGATCCAATGCTTGGCACTGTGTCGTGTCAGCCTGCATCCCAATACGAAATGTAGGGTGTCTTTTGTAAATGCGCAAAGATAGTTCTTCCAAACTTGTGACTACAGTATCTGCGGTAAACACTTGAAGAAGCGTTTGTACTTCAACAGGGGAGAATCTGGAAGTTATTCAAGAAATATTCACCAAAAGTACCTCTCCCCCCTCGAGCAAATCGTTCTTAGAAGTTCTTGAAAGTGGACTATTATAGCACAATAATACCGTTTTAAAGGAGCTAGACAATCGCATTTTGTAAAGAATTGTGATCTCGACAAATCACGCGCTGTCAAATTTTGAGTAATTCTTCCCTGTACTTATCACTCCGAAATAAATACAAGAAATACACGTTAGCAATACAAGTCTTCTAGTTTAGGAACTAGCAAGAAGTTTTACTACATGCAAATGCTAATAAAACTATATTCTTAATTAGTGTACTTATTGGTATGCTTATTAAAATTGCTGAAACAGATTAAAAATTCCTGATTGATCAGAGGAGATAATTCATGCCATGCGCAATTTAGTATTAGCCACTACGCTTAAAACTTTTAGAATTTAAAATTAATCTTTAGAACAGACAAGTAATTGAATTTAAATAAATACTTTTTTCACACTGCCTTCCTGAGTAAGGGGATAAACACGAACATACATAATCCCCATCTACCACTCTGCATCTGCCTCCGTTATGGCAAGGGTTTAGGATGCAGGGATCTAAAAAAGAAAATAAAATCAAAACAACAATTTATTCTTATTTATTATTATATTTCTATTATTGTTATTTATTTTTGCGCTTATTTAGCCCTTTGTTGTCATGCATGTTTATAAGGTTAGCCAATGAACGGAGTTACAAACGCAATAACAATTAAAGTTACAAGTATTTTAATTAAAGCAAATACTTTTTTCACATTTCATTCCTGAATATGGAGCTAAACACGAACATACGAAACTTCGACCTAACACCGAGCAGCTGCCTCCATTTTGACAAGGATTTGGTTCACAAGGACCTAAAATAAAAGGATGAATATTTAAAAGAATATTCTTGATAAATTAATAAACTTCAGAAATTACCGTGCTTGAATTTTTAAATGAAACAAAATACATTTTTCACATAATCTTCCTAAATATAGATTAATGCAGGGCAATTATATTATTTCTTACAACATTACATTTCCCATCATTCCTACAAGAACTTCAATAGCAAGGATCGGAATAAAATATCTGAAGTTTAAAAGTTATTCCTTTTTGTCTTTCTGATTACAAATATTTACAATTTTATTTTTGAATATTTCAGTTATAAAAAATTAACTTTTTCATAATAACGTCCAGAGTAGGTATGCTTGCAAGAGCATCCATGTGTGCCACCGTTCTTACAAGGGACTGTGCGCATGGATGTGCGATATAAATTTGAGTATTCAAGATTATCTTTCTGTTTATCGTGCATAAAATAATCGAAATACTATTCTTTGAACGTTTAATTTGAATTAAATACCTGTTTCGCAGAACTTTCCAGAGTAAGGCGATTTGCACGTGCATTTATATTCTTCATCAAATTTGTGACATGAACCTCCATTTTTGCAAGGATTTGAGTCACAAGTACCTAAGAAAAGTAAAGAGAATAGAAAAGTTGCTTTTATCTTAAATAAAAAATACTGTATTTAAATCAGAATTTTCTTTCTTAAATTCACTAAAAACTGTCAGCCATTTTCTGAGCATTTATTATGGTAATTTCATTTAGAACATTTATGTGGAACTAGCCGAATTTGCATGTGTTGTGTCTGTCAATAAAGGTATGAGTATGAGGGATGTTTCTTAGTGATATATTTTATAGAATACAAATTTTAGCATAAAAAGTCGCTAGCCTTAAGAATGAGGTTGTTCTAAGACATGTTCAGCAAACACAGCGCTTCAACAGAATGAATTCATTCGCACTTCTATTCGGATGTTATACAGGATTCTTAACACTCGTTTCACGGCAAAACAGGCTCTTTCGTTGCTCCAAAAATCTCTTCCATTTTCCCGAATTATGACAGTGGCATTTGCTGGCAAATATGCAACTTCAAAATGTTCATGACGGACGTTTAATTCATACGCTGTGTACTGGTAAACTCTTTATTCATTTAGAACATCGGGAATTTTCTTTTTCCTATTACCTACAGTTTTATTTTCTTTCCTTTCTTTAACCACTCATATTGACACAGCGTAAAACTGTCACTTATTTTTCCGATATTTTACATCCTTTTAAACTTTTGGTTTCACATAAATAAATAAATAAATAAATATTCAAAATGAAGTATTTAAAAGTAAATAAAAAAGGCCTATGACTTGCGCTAAACCTGCAAAGTAAGTAAATAAAAAAGGCCTATGACTTGCGCTAAACCTGCAAAGTAATAAATCATAAATTTATAATAAGAAAACTTTTCATATACCATCTCCAAGGAACACAAATTTGAAACCATCAATGAAAATATTTTTTGGAATTTAAATTAGAATTCTAAATAATTTCAACTATGTTTAAAAATCTGCTAAGAAAAATCCTTAATCGCAAAAAAAAAAAAAAAAAAAAAAAAAAAAAAAAAAAAAATCAAAAGTAAATCTTAAATATTGATAAATTAGCTACTGTCATTGATCACAGATTAATCGACTTATCAAGGGGATAAACCAATCTATCATCAATTAACAATAAGTAAATTAAGTGTGTGTGTGTGATTATGGCAAAGCCTCGAGGGCTATCTGCCTAAGGGGAGGGATGCCTTCGTGGAGGACTTTCTAAGGGAAACTGGCTCGTATACTCGTTACACATGGGGAAAATAACGAAAACGCCCATGCAGCCAGCCCGTTCGCGGGATTCGAACCTCGGGCCGAACTACCAGTGTTCAGCGACTTTACCGCTCGGCCGCTGGTGGGCCCTAACTAAATTAAGAGAGTGTTTCATCTTATTTCTAAGTAAGCATCAAATTATTTGCTAGATTCAAACCATAAGTCACATAAATACTCAATCCAAATAAAGACATTAGTCCCTTTAAGGCAATAGAATCTTGTAAAACAAAATAGCGATAAATCTTAAAATTAAAGTTTCTCAATAAGAACACAATTAATCTGAACGAGATGCTTACTTTAGAAGACATATCCCCTACACTCTCAATTTCAAATTCAAAAACAGAAATAAACATATTAGAACATTAAAATTTGATTCTAAATCCAAGAAGATAAAAAAAATGATAGAATCTTAAACTAAAAGTTTAAAACAAACAGTTAATTAGAAATTTAAAGATCAAAATAGTAAGTTAAAGAAAGTTTAGCCTAAATTGGCGAGAAAATTGAAATTATTCTTGGAGATATTACATAGAGAGTAGGCTGTTTACAAAATAGCTCTAAAAGCTTCTAGTTAGAAAATTAATTCAAAAAAAGTATTTAAAAGTAAATAAAAAAGGCCTATGGCTTGCGCTAAACCTGCAAAGTAATAAACCATGAATTTATAATAAGAAAACTTTCCATATTCCATCTCCAAGGAACACAAATTTAAAACATCAAAGAAAATATGTTTTAGAATTTAAATTAGAATTTTAAATAATTTCAACTGTGTTTAGTTATGTTAGTTAACTATGTCGCTCAAGCTTAGGCGATGTACAATAATATTAATCTGTTTCATCGGCATTATAAATATTTTCAGGACGGTACTTCATAGACCATTTAGGCTATTCATTTGACACTCATGTTCCTGCAACAAGTTTTGCTTCTCCATGAATATGTCTGTAAAAAGGATTTTTATTTTTCTTGCATCAGCTAAACCAGCCAGCTACTGTTACAGAAACACTTTTCACAATATTTTGGACTATGTCTCCAAATTTCAGCTTCATTAATGGACCATTAGTATCCTTTCGTTCTTATGACTAAATCGTTAATGTGTTTCCAAACACTATGAACATTCCCGCTATACATACATTTGATATTTCATTTCAGTTTTATTTGCAAATAATAGGCTCACTATTCTTCAGATTCTTTCATAACAGGATTGCGAGAAAATATTTCATTTAAGAGCTGTATTTCGTTGACTCATTTTTGGTAGTTTGACATAGCTGTTTAACAAGTAAAATTGCTACTCTAGATGATTACTCCTTTTTCTAGATTCCAGCGCAAACATGCTTCACTGAACTGGTTAGTCCAGTCTATCTTCCTAAAACTTAAAAAACGTGTTCCTTCATTCGTGTTTGCCTTAATATGGACAAAATCAGTTACTACAGAGAAGTCTCTGTTATTCCGCAATATCTGTAATCTATTTCGATTTTACTGGTAAACTTATCATTTATCTTTTATTTGACGACTACGATTTAAAATATTCATTCTATATTCTTTTGGTAACATTAATTGATTTGTTGATCACCATAAGGGAGGGGTTTTCCAAGTTTTCCCATATAGATGAGAGAGACTGTTAATTGAATAACAGTATCCAAATGATAACATTAACTATCATCGCACAGTCTCCTGTATATTATATCGCATTCACTGTAAATCAAAATATATATGTGGCAAAAAAGATTGCAGATAGGTAAGAGGATAGAATGTACACCTCTTCTGCCGCTATAATTTCTTACGCAGTACAAAGATCTCTGCGCAATACAGAATTAATGATGATCAAACTTATTCTTATATTTGAATTGGAAATGTTGGAGGACAGTTTTTTATTCAATAGAATCGATTACTCTCATATGAAGCATGGTGCAACGCAAGATTAGAGCACGAATTTTCTCATAAATCCGACTAACACTACAAGCATGCAGCCATTAAAATCAAGAACGTCCTATACGAAATAGGAAATGTAGCGAAATGCTATAGAATTCTTTTCTATGAACAGAAAAGGTAACTGCACGGCATTAGTTACATGTCGGAAATTACCCGACTTCCTCTTCGAACGTGCCAAGTCTTTCATATGTTGAGCCTAATAGGGGACCAAGTGATTAAGACCACTGAATAATTGATCGGAGTTCGAATCCACGCGAATAGGCTAATTGAATGGGTGTTTCCCGTTTTAATGTGAAATATAAGCCGATTTCTATTGAAAGGTCATCCGAAATGCATGTATTTTTGTGATAATCATGTAACATAACCTAATCTTTCACATGTTGCGAATTTTTCATTCTTCAAAAACTTTGGTATTTGGGAATAAAATGGAGTGCGCAGCTGATAAAAATTATAGGTGGAATCTTTGGATACGCATGCAGGAATATTATAAGTATCCAAGCCTGACTGGTCCATCACTCGTTCAATTAATATTTGCCCGAAACGCCATAACTTTTAACAGTTTGATGAGGTGAATACTCCAAAGACTCTGAGAGGGAAGGAGGCTGGAGACTTTTCTCCCTATACAGTTGTGACATTGAGAGACAATTCCAGGGAAAAAATTTCAGATATGCAAACATAACACTAATATGCAACAGGATGACAGAAGTGTACGAGTAAATTATGTTGCGAAGCAGAAAAATCATGTGTTTTTAATCTTTTAAACTTTAACTCGTATAGTTCTCACAACGCTTTAATTGTACTATAATAATAGTACAATTAAAGCGTTGTGAGAACCCGTGTAAAAGGAAAAATCAATAAAAATAAATTCAATAAAACTCCATGTTTCTTAAAAAGTATTCCCGCTCAAAAAAATGGATTAAGTCAACAGACCACCGTAAAAATACACACAAGATAAATAAATAAAATAAAACTATAATATACACATTTATTGAATTCTATAATAATTTTATATTACTAAATATTGGATAAGTGATCAGTAATCCTACCACATATTTAACAATGAAAAGTAAAATATAATGTCACACGCAATTACAGCTTACAACAATTAATAAACCTTAAAATGAAAAATAACACATATCTCATTCAAAAATTAACATACTCATATTAATTTGTAAGCTTACTATTTTTGATATTCAATAGCTCACTAATTAAGCTGGTGAACCAATCTTTAAACCTTCATTTACAGACTTTAAATTAACTGGTCATTATTCAAAATATTCTTCGTAGTTTTCATATATAAAATAGATGATTTACTTCTATGGAATTTGAAAAGATAGAGAGGTAGACAAATTTACAAATCACTCTCATATTTTCCGGAACATATAATCTTGAGGAAAGTGTGCAATTTATCTCACGGAGGAAGTCTATTTCGTTGAGCCAACACCTTAATTACAGTTACACACTCGCGCGTGTAAGTTCACTCTGCACAAAATTTCTGGAAAAGGGGTGAAGTCCTTTTTGTAAAATTAAACGCCCGATCAGAAAAAAGTGCGTTCTTCAAGAACATATCTCTATGCGTGAGGAACCACAAGAGCCAGATAGTAACAATTCACGTCGATCCGGAACTTCCAAATGTCAGGTATATTCACTAACGATCACGCGCTAAAGTAGTACCCAGGGACCTTCTTTATCAGGAACGCTTCAATAAACCAGGAAAAATGCCTTAAAAGGACCGAAACTGGAAAGGCACTGGCCAGGATATACATAAAAACCCACTGCAATACCTCGGGAATATCTATTTACAATCCATTATTTGATAAATTTACAACTATTGCCCTAATTTATTTCTTCCAGTAA